ATGTTGCTACTGTTATGAATCGTCATGTAAATATCTGATATGCAGGATGGTCTTAGGCAACCCCTGTGAAAGGGTCGTTCGACCGCCGAAGGGGTCGCGACCCACAGGTTGAGAACCGCTGCTCTAGTCAGTCATTTGGGAAGAAAGAACAAGCCAGGTAAAGAGGAGACGAATTAAGGCTCAAGTATAAGACAACATGAAGGGTCGAGCTCAACGCAAGAGGAGCTACGTGAAGGGCCACTGATGGGGCCCCGCCCCCGCCGACCGCCCGTCACAGGGACTGAGTCAGCTGCGTGCCCACTGAGCGAGGTTCCGCCCCAGCCCGCGGGGCCATCCAGGCCCGTCACTGTGAACAGGAGCGTTCGCCTCCCCCTCACACACGGCGGGCCTCCCACCATCGCTGATTCCTCCAGACCACGGCCAGGAGACGGCCCAGGGGTGCCCACGCGCGCGGGCAGCGGGCCTGTGAGCTGTGGGGAAGGGCTGGTCACCTGCTCCAATAACAGAGTGTACAATCCAGAAGGCCTGCCTCCTGCCCGCACCTCCCCACATCCTGCTCCTGGAGAGTAACTGCTCTGGGGACGTTCTTGTGAAACACCAAAAAGAGTCAGCCGATGGTTAGCTAAATCCTGAATTCAATGCAGGGTAAATTCCCAGAATCCTTTTCTCTTTGTGCAAATATTTGCTGAAACGCTTCGAAAACACCTGCGTCCTCAGTAGGATTTTCCCTGCTGTTTGCAGCGTCTCTGTCGCCGGGGGAGGAAAGGGGCGGCTTATGTTCCCGGAGGGGAGCCCGGCTCCTGGTCGCCCGGCAGCTCCCGGAACTCAGTGCCCCACCTGCACCTTTTATATCAGGGATCAGACATCCTGCCAGGCGCGGAGGGGGATCCAAAATGCACACGTCGTCCCCACCGCCAGGCGCTCCCTCGCGATGCGTCCCATCCACGGAACTACGGCCTCGGCAGGCAGCCCTCGGCTCTAGGAACAGGCTGACCCGGAAAAGAGCAGGGCTTGAATGGACGTCCCCTTTCCCGCTGTGTGTTGCCTCCCTGCCCGCTGATCAGGATCCACTAGCTGCTTAATGAGCGCCGACGGCTGTATTGCACCGTGTCCCCGAGGCTGCCTTGGCTCCTGGCCGAGGCCCTCAGGTCGCTGACACCCGTCAATGTACCTGCAGCTCATCCAGGGGGGTCCCTGCAGTGTCTGAGAACACGCTCCTCACAGTCCTGGCTCCGAGGGGACCTGCAGGTGGTCCTGGCCCGGCCACGCCCCACCCGGAAGCTCCAGAAAACCCCCTCACCCTGTGGGCACACGGCTTCTGCCTCGCGAACACGAGGGAAAGGAGCTACTGGCCACGGCTGAGGAGTGCCGAGCAGGGAGGTGGCAAGTTCTGGAAGCTTCTGGACTATTCCAGCACCCGGGATCTCTCACCCCTCTGGAAAACCCTGTCGCCACCACCATAAATAAAGATACATGTCAAATGTACAATGAGAACTATGCGAGGGTCCATTACAGTATCAAAGAGAACGGGCGGATGCTATCTGTAACCATTCCCAAACTTGAGGATGTTTAGTAAACTATATATTTACTCTGTCGGCGTTTTCTAATCCGCTCCTGTGGGTAGATTAATTATGGATCTGAAGCATTTACACAGGAATGTTTCTTAAGGAATGCAATTAACTAGCAAGAGGCAATTAGCGAGTCTTTGGGAGAGAGTTGGAGGTGCCTTACACAGACTTCAGCTTTAATCATTTGCTCAAAACTTTTCATAGCCATTATTCGCACGGCATCTTTGGGGGGCGATTATTTCACTTAGGTTTTCGAGCACATTGCGGCTGCGTGGGGTTTCCTAAACTTAATTACTCAGTGTTTAAAGCTAAGAATTTAATGTGAAGTTAATCGTATTTTGATTGTCGAGCCGTCAGCACCGCCGACTGTATAATGCGTGTCGGTTCCCGCCGGGCAGCGTGTCCAGCTCCGGGACAGTCTCAGGAGCTGGCGGGCACCCGGAGCGCCTGTTTTCTGTTTTGTTTCGATTGTTTGTTAGTTTTTGTTAATCCTCACCCACTGGAGAGTCTGCTTTTGTAGGCGAGGCAAAGAGGGACCCGGGCAGAAAAGAGAATTACTCTCGTCAAATTGACTGCACGAGGAGCTCAACAGCAATGATCCCCAGTATTTCTTTCTCCTACTTTTAGAAGTTTGCGCTGCTGTGTAAAACATTACCAAGTGCCGGCCGGCCTGTGTGGCTCCGTGGTTGATCGTGAACCTATGAACCAGGAGGTCACGGTTCAATTCCTGGTCAGGGCCCGATCCCCAGTGTGGGGCGTGCAGGAGGCAGCTGGTCCATGATTCTCTCATCATTGATATTCTATCTCTCCCTCCCTCTCCCTTCCTCTCTGAAATCAATAAAATATATATTTAAAATTACCAAGTGCCCATAAATAGATCCACAGACTCAAGGTTTCTCAAAATCACGCAGAGAAATGGGCGGCAACGGTGGAAGGCTGTGCTGGGACCGTGGAGAACACGGGGTCCCCAGGGGCTGAGCGTGGCCTTGGAGCCAATCCGCTGGACAGAGCAAGAGAGACCGACACAGAGAAGCCGCAGCCCTGCGGCCAGTCCGGCTGGGTGGGGGCAGCGGACTCTGGGCGGCTGGTAGGGCAGACGGGGACAGCTCAGCGCCTCCCCCACAGCCCCTGGTGTGCGCTCAGTCGGCGTGGATCTGTCTGCTGCCCTTTTGCACAACCGTGAGAATACAGACTCGAGGCACCATCCTGCTCGACCCCAGCTGGAAAGAGTGGGCAGGAAACAGAGGCAGCGAGGAGGTCGGAAAGGTGATGGGACGTGAAACGGCAGCTCAGGTGCGCGTTTCCTGGGAGCTGCGTGGAGAGGCCCCCACTGGCCACGAGCCACAGAGGAGCACACGGAGCAGAGGGGAGGCCAGGCCCAGGCCCCGCCCTGCGGACGAGGCTCGGGGAGGCTGGCTGGTCGGCTCCCTGAGGCAGCAGGAATGCAAGAGCCACGGGTGCGCGAAGAGTCCCCGGAGCTGCAGTGAATACCATATTCCCTCAGAGCGTTCCCGTCCTCCCCAGCATCACGCCTCCAGGGCTCAAAGACGGTGAGAGCAGGAAGTGGCTTCAGCTCCTTCCAGGAACCAAGGAGCAAATCAACAATGAACACAGCCACGTGAATCTACATCAGAGGGGCCGAGGCCTGCCCTTCATCTGCAGTCAGCGCCCACGGCTTTGACAAGAAAGCCTTCTGGGCAGTGACTCCATGCGTGGAGCCCCGGTTATAATAAAGGTTAAAACACGGGCTATCGGGCGGTTCACACGCCGATCGCTATTGCAGTTTGCACACAATACATGTCACATGCTTTCTTCTCACTGAGCCTCTGCAGCGGTCATTTCCACGGACGTGGACGGTTTTCTCAGGAAGTCGGCCACTTTAATTGCATTTTTGCTCAAGGTTAACCGACACTTCCGCTGTCATCTCCCCACTAAGCAGGATTTGAGTCGCTCATTTTCCTCGTCGGGGCCTAATGCGCTGGGTCTGGGGTGACTGCTATCTTTCCAGGCCGTTACTCGCCTACTGTCCAATAGAGACATTAATCCTGATGGTCACTAACAAATATTCATGCTCAGAACCAAAGGGCTTAATTTCCTGTACCGTGGCCTTTGGTATCAGAGAGACTTTGAAGCATCGCATCGCGAGGAACCGGGGGACGAGGGGACGAGGGAGGGGCCGCCCCCGGGCTACTCACTGGTGTAGCTGAGCTGGAAGCCAGCGGCCGTGTCCGTGCCGTTGCTGTCGAACTCCAGCCGCAGGTGGTTGGAGGTGCTGTTCAGGGTCAGGCCCAGCAGCTCTCGCCGCGTGAAGGTCCCCAGGGGCCGGGAGGCGCCGTCTCGCCCGTCGAACACCTGGGGGGTGTCACGCGAGAGCCTGTCACTCCCGTGGTTTCAGCTGAGCAGTAATTTGTGCTGCGCGTGAGCTGCCCACAGACACGCCCAGTGCGAGGACCCCGGGAACAGCCACCTCCTGGGTTCTGCACAGAAACGCGTCCCACGGGGACTCGGGAGGGAGGCAGGCGCTTCTGTCTGGAGCTCCTGACCTGAGTGTGTGGCTGCTAATGGGGTCAAGGCCCGGCCAGGCCCCTCTATCCTGTGTGAGCAGATGATGGACTGGGGGGAGGGGGGGGGGAAGGGGAACACTGACTGTCCCTTGCAGCTGGGTTTGCACATTCTCTCAGCCTCACAGCTTAACAACAGTGGGACCCACAGCACTGGGGGGGGGGCGGGGGAGGGGATGGGGACGTGTCAGCATGAGTGTCATGTGCCTGTAAGAACAAAACCCCAGCCCAGCCGACGTTTTTGGTTGAGTGTTGACCTATGAACCAGGAGGTCACAGTTCAATTCCTGGTCAGGGCACACACCCTGGTTGTGGGCTTGATCCCCAGTGGGGGGCATGCAGGAGGCAGCCGATCCATGTTTCTCTCTCATCATTGATGTTTCTCTCTCTCTCTCCCTTCCTCTCTCTCTGTGAAATCAATAATAAATAAAAAGAGAATGAACCCCCCAGACTTTTGCAAAGGGAATGAGAAGAGAGACGCGCCCCATCTGGCCACAGGTCAGCTGTGTGACCTGGACAAGTTTCCATGTCTCAGGTGACCGAGCGGCCATGGACGGGACGAGGTCCGGCCTTGGTCTGTGCTGTTCCAGGCCTGTCTGTAATGCCCGAGGCTCGCTCTGCAGTGGGCGCTCCCTGGGCCCCGGCCCCCAGGAGGCCCCGCTCCCTGCACAGTCCCAGGAGAGGGGGCAGCTCTCAGGAGCCTCTGAGGTCACGGAGCATTTCCACATGGAGGTAGGATGTTCTAGGTCAAGGCAAGACCTGGGCGCCTGGGACCCGATCCCCCTGCCTGTGCCCTGGAGTCCCCCGGGGTGTGGGGGTGCTGGGTGCGGACACCACAGGCCCTTCCTGAGCCCAACACTCGCCATCACAGGACACACGGAGGCCTGCTGCGGACCCCGCTCATCCCGCGGGCCTGCTTCCTTGAGTCTGTCCGGTCCCCGCGTGGCTCCTCCACTCGAGCTGGCTCTGTGGTCCCCTGACCGTGGCTGCGATGTGTCCACAGTCACATCACGGTCATCGTAGCTCTGAATGCCGGGACCGCGTGTCCACGGAGTGGCCACAGGGGGTTGGTTGGGGCCCCTGAGCTGTCATAGTGGTGTGAGTGCTGGGCACAGGGCTGGAACACGCCCCTACATTCCACCACTTAACCCTCCCACCAGCCCGGGTGGCAGGCAGCCTGCGTGTTTTACACACTTGAAAGCTCAAAGTGTGAAATGATTTGCCCAAGATACACAGCTAACACCGTCGGGCCCAGGGCCACAGACCGAGCTGCTTCGAAGTCCACACTCCCTCCACTAAGTGGCACCTCCGGCCGCCTTCCCGGGGGGAGAGATCCACTGGAGAAGGAGCGTAATGGGAATATACCGGTGCATGTGCACACCCGCCCGTCTGCCTTGGAGGGAGGGCCCCCCAGGGGAGGCGCCGTGTCGGGGGGAGCCTTTACCCGGAGCGTGTCCCCCTCCTGCAGCTGGAAGGTGCGCGCCCACAGGCGGATGCCCTTGCCGGCCTCCGTCTCGATGCTGTAGATGCACTCGTGGTGGTTGTCGTAGTTGGACGGGAAGTTCGGCGACAGCAGCGTCCCTTCGTTGCCTGTGACCCTCGCCCCACACTCAGCTGAAATGGAAGGGGAGAGAGGATTTGACATGAGAGGACTGCTGCGGACAGATACAGGTAAAGCTGTGGCAGCCCCCTGTCTCTCACTGGGTCTGTGGTTGATACATTGTAGCCACAGATCCGTGACCTTGACCTTGAGTGTTTCCCCAGCTGCACAGGCAGTGATGTTCTTCTTTCTTTTTAAAAAATATTTGTATTGATTTCAGAGAGGGAGAGAGCGATAGAAACATCAATGATGAGAGAGAATCATTGATTGGCTGCTACCTGCACACCCCACACTGGGGATTGAGCCCACAACCCGGGCATGTGCCCTGACCGGGAATCGAACCATGACCTCCCGGTTCCTAGGTCGATGCTCAACCACTGAGCCCCGCCAGCCGGGCAGGACTTCCTTATTTCTCTTCATAGGATGCCGATGTTATTTCCGCCCCAGTTACTCTCATCTTACATTGTAGGCAACGGCGTAAACACCCAGGTAACAGGGTAGCGATGTAGAGATAATCCAGATAAAACAGAATAACGGCGAGTGGATTAAGATAATCTACAGGCTGCTTCGCGCTGCGTGTGTAGAACGATGCTGTGACTTCCCTGAGGTGAGCGTTTCTGAGATCTTAAACTATGTCGGTCGGTAATTTCCGACCTGAGGGGGGCGGGTTCCAGGATTCTGGGAGCTCCGGGGGCATCCATAAGGCACTGTGTGTAGTTTTCCTCGAGGGAATGTTCAATTCTCAGATAAATATCAAAACCACAAAGAAGGAAGAAGCGCTATTCGGGGAGGGAGCCGGGGGTAGACGTGTGCCGGCATGTGCCCTGGCAGAGGATGAGGGGCTCCACGCAAGGTCACTGCTGAACTGCCTGCACAGGGAAGTCCTGACTCGCTGACGATCTGTGCCTCATGAAACAGGGAAAGTCCGTACCGGCTTTGGAATCAGGGGATATTCCTAAATAACGGACAATGGAAGAGGCTCTCCTCATGGGAAAAGCCAGGTTTTCCTAAGCTAACAATGTAGTGTTTGGCAGGTTAAGGAATTTATTTTCACAACTTCCCCGCCTGCCTCGAGGCGTCCTGGGGAGGTTGGCGTGTGCACTGCGGGCGCCGTGGGCTCAGTGTTCTCGCCATCAGGGGAGTCGTGGGGACTCTGAAACAAATGCCTGCGGCTCGCTATGCATCAGCCGTTCTCTGCCCGTCATGGGCAGGTGGGGAGGCCGCGCGTGCCCAGCTGCAGGTGGGCGGCAGGTGCGCGGCTTGTGTCTGGGCTGAGGACCAGCCCCTGTGACCTGCAGGCAAAATGCTGTCCTTCAGCCCTGCAGCCCCTGACTCCTGCTGGTCCTCCCAGAGGCACAGCCCAGAGTCGCAGGGATGTGACCACCGGGCCCCCCTAACCACCGTCTGCCCAGCGCGTCTCCAAGCGCCTGCACCCTCCCAATGGCGCCTGGGAGCCCCTCCTCGATGCTGCAGAACAACCTGGACATGCGGACTCCCGCCCAGATTCAGTGCCCACTTACCGGGCCATGCCCGTCAGCCGGTCAAACTGAGAGACAGCGGAACTACAGCCTTTACACTGTCGCCGTCCTGTACCAGGGACACACCTGCTTTCCATCAACACAGCTGTCAAAGGCTGTGCTGCTACAGCCTGTCCAAGGTCGTGTTACTACAGCGTGTCAGAGCTTGTGTTACTACAGGGTGTCAACAGTTGTGTTACTAAGAGTGTCAAAGGTTGTGCTACTACAGCGTGTCAAGGTCATGTTACTACAACATGTCAACAGCCATGTTCCTACAGAGTGTCAGAGCTTGTGTTCCTACAGCGTGTCAAGGTCGTGTTCCTACAGCGTGGTTTCCAGCTGTTACTTTACCTCGTTTCCTTGTATAAATATGACTGACGCAGTGTCGCTCTCCCTCAGTCATGAATGTGGGGCGGAAGGAGCTGGCCTTCCAGCTGAGACGGCACAGCCGGAGGCTCGCCCCCTGGCAGGCAGCTACGTGGCCGG